GAGAGAGAGAGAGAGACGTCAGTACGCTTCATTCAAATATTCGAAAATTGAGTCCTTAGTTACGGATCCATTTGTCCTTTGTCCTTGTATTTCATACGTAACATAAAACCATATACCATATACCAAAGACTGATGTCTTTCTATCATTCATTGTTACAGGAGGCTGTCGGACTGTCCGTTTTTCTGGGTCGTCTACGGACCAGATATTGCGGATGACAACCTACACCATGACGGGAAATCTTCTCAATGATCGCCCGGTGTATAGATCTTCACGTGGAGACTTCCTCTACTACTACGCCCAAGGGGCGGTACGCTGGCATGTTGGCCCAGGTCTGGGAAGTGATGTGAAGGCAATGTACCTACCTAGCGACTCGAGCATCTTCGCAGACAGCACATCGGGGACCTGGTACTTGTCCGATGGCACCGACTTCCAGCCTAACAGTCATGTGACAGTCAGCTGTGTCGGTAATTATTTCATTTTCTGTACATTTTGTCGACTTTGGTGACCTAGCTTATGCAAAATTTGCAGCAAGTAAGAAAGAAAAATTTCAGATTATGATACGTTTCTTGAATAGCGCTGTCAGAAAAACGGGTTAGATTAAACGAGGCTTAGAATTGCGTAATTACTAAAAGGCTATACCCCTAGCCTTGTTCATGTATTTAAAGATCTCTCATTGGTTTGAATTTCATGTTCTTGCAGTCGGTTATGGTTCGTCAGTATGCTGTCATCAAATGCTAATTCACCTTTTCCATTCGTGATTTTCTACTGCACCTTCATGCATTTGCATTTACATTCTTTGTAATATGATATATTTCTTGCTCCAAACTACATTCTCTTGAATTCTTAACGTCAGATCCAAGTGCTGTAGTGAACGGTCAATGGTCGACCTGGGGCAGCTGGGCGACATGCCATAGCTACTGCACCTGTGGTGACGATTCCTGCGTGACGAATAGAGTCCATCGTACCCGTCAGTGTATCACTCCGCCTCCGCGGAACGGCGGCTCCAACTGTGTCGGGAAATCCACGCATTCGCGACTGTGTGCCTGCCTAGGTGATCTTCTACATTTTCTACAAGTACCCGGTTAAGCTTTACAAGGAATATTGATGGCTCTAATTTTGTAAAGATGTTGGTATGGTTGGGGTTTTATATCATCACAGACAAGAAAATGTGCAGTGCAAGGCCCACATATTTTATTGACAGATGAAGAATGTTGTCGATAAAAGATAAACAAAGATGCATCTAAAAAGACGTCACTTCACTTTTGTCTTCAGATATTGACGAGTGTTTGGACAATCTGCTTAACAACTGTGACGGCGACAGTGGTGCGACATGTGTTAACACCCCAGGAGGGTATTTCTGTGAATGTGGCGATGGGTACGAAATACAGGCTAATGGAAGGACTTGCCAAGGTAGGTCATTTTCTAAAGTATGATATAATTGTTTAAATTTTTTGCCTTTATATATATGTTGTGTGATGTGTGCGTGTATAATGAGCTATATAAAGAATACACACACACGCACACACACACACACACACACACACATATATATATACATATATATATGTAGTCATTATATAGCCCAGAGATGCAGGAATGATTTTCACCAAACGGGACATGCTCCGTGATTGCCAAGAATGGCCACAGAAAGATTTGTGTGGCAACGCAGGTATACCTTTCTCCTTAGTCAACATTCGGTGTGTAAAATCTTTGCCTTTCGGCATTAAATATTCAGTCTTATTATTTTATTAATTTTTCTTCTTTATGCAGATGTTGACGAATGTGCCAATGGCCTGTGTGAGAACGGCAGATGTGCGAACTCTCCTGGGAGCTACAGCTGTACCTGCAACAGTGGCTATAGGAAGAACCCGACAACACAGACATGTGAATTCGAAGGTACACTGGCATGTTATCTGTCTATTCGGCCAATTTCTACATGTACCGTCTTTTAGAAGACATAAGCCACCTCATATGAAATGAAATATCTGTTTCTTCAAAACATGTGTACCCCTTTCATTATATTGGCAAACCTGCATTAAGATGATTCAGGTCTTATGTCAGACGCTTTGCTGTGAGAAACGGGTGCTTGCTGCAAGTTGATTAAACCTACTTGTGTTTCATTTTGAAGGTGAAGGTGAAGGTGAAGGGGAAGGTGAAGGGGAAGGCCAAGGTGAAGGGGAAGGCCAAGGTCTGTCTACTGGGTCCATCGTTGGCATCTCATTCGGGGTCATCATTCTTGCTGTGCTGATGATCATCGGTTGTTACCGCTACAAGGTCAGCAAGAAAGACGGCTCTACCACAACTGTTACACTATCCTGCCCTCCACCGAAGTACTAAGGCCACACACCGAAGTACCATATCCAAACAAAGAGATATCCAAACAAAGAGATATTCGATAGTGATTTGTCCACGTCATGTATAAGATCATCAAAACCAGCTTATACTCTAAAAGTGAATCAAACCCAATGTTTAAGGTGCCGTTTGTGTGTGTCACAGTGTGTGTGCGTGTGTGTGTGTGGACAGCATAACTCGAGAAGTATGGAACTTTGTGTCAAGCGAAAGTTCTGGAGAGAGAGGGGGGACCACATGGTGGCTTACAGTGGTACTGCAGCAGAACTTTTGGTTCTCACATACTAGTAGAATAAATTGACGTTTGGTTGTATATTGCGGTGTCGCAGATTCCAAGTATCTTTTAGATTTATCAACTTGGTCATGTATAATCGCTTTTATGTCTTGTTTGACGACGTTTGCAATTAATAAATCTTACAATATAAGGTGCTGGATTTTAATTTTGCATTGCAATCTTTATTGTGCTTATTCTTGGATGGCTTTCTTTACTAATTACCCTTAATTGACGTGTTAAGTTCAACCGGTGAAATGGCTGTGTTACCGGACCCAAGGTACAGACTGAACTTGTGTAATTGCGTCTGATATGTTGAAATAGATAATAAACAGCTACTGCAGATATACTAATGCAGATTACATGTTTATCAGTCAATCGTCAATGAGAATGAGGATAATAAAGAAGGATAAAACCACGATCTCTATGTTTTCTGCTTCGTTTCTTTCAAGACATAACCTCCTTCGATCGCTCAGGTAAAACAAAACGTACAATAAACCTGCTCAAGTACAATAAACCTGCATATATTTACAGGTAAGGGGTCAAAGGTTATATGTGAGTGGCCTGTTATTAATCATACGTTGGAATTTGTTGACATTACACTTGCCTGACAGGAACTGAATACCAGGCCTCAACCCTTACCCCCTTTCCTTGCACTTTATCCCCCACAGTGCCCACCCCCTCCTGCCTACAGCACTGCTGTGAACATGCCTACCCAACCCCCGGGACTTTTTCCCCAGTTCCATTCTACCCACGACCCGGCGTATCCCCCTCCCCCCGCTCAAAAATAAAAATAATGGCGTAGCACTCGTCCAACTTAACCATTGCTGGCCTTTGATTGGTCGTTTTATGCATCCAACAGCAACATCTTAATAACACGTCCCCCAAAATATATCCATTTCATCATGGAAGATTATTATTATAGATACAGGTGCAGAGCTTACGAACCTAAACCAAAAGTACTAAGCAACAAACAAGACGCGAGACGTTGTCGTAATTCAGGTTGAGGATTCCCACTTGACCGACTTACATCTCCAAGTAGATGCAAGTTTTGGTCCTTTCCATTTACACGGTCAAAGTTAAAGGTCGGAACACGAGGAGCCGTATTTATATATCGTCAAGTAGTAACCGTCAATATTATCACGTGAGTACATTTACATACGCATGCTCATTACCCGTTATGATTGACGGCTTCACCCCACGCCGAGCGACGAACAAACGTTTTTGATCTTAGTATTTTGACTTTCCTAAAACTTCAACGCGCTATTAAAGTAGAAGGTAAATGTCGACCGACGCTGTGAAGATGGCCCAGTGGCTGTTTGTGCTTGTTCTGGCCACACTTTTCAACAGCTCCTTCCAACAAGGTATGTGGAATGTGAATGTTATAAAAGTTTAAGTACCAAAAGAACATGCTAAACATATTTGCTTTGTGTTTGTACCTTAAACGTCTGAAAAATAACTAGTGTGCTGAACAGAAGAAACAGGACAGTCGACGCTGTAGCAATTTGACAATAGAATGCCACGGTGGATAAAGTTTCTGCTTGTATTAGCGACTCAGTAAGTTATGTGGAGTGCGTATGTCATGAAAACTAAAGGGTTTGAAGCACCAGCTTTATTGTTTGTGTGACGCATCCGTCGTAGCAGTGTTTACTGTGAACTTCAGGGAACTTGTTTCAAAAGAACAATGTATCATAATGTGGTACTGGTCGATAGTATGATTCTGTAAGTGCTGCATATATGTTTTCTTTGGTATGGATGAAGACACGGTATTGATTCATAAAAGAGAAACTATGAACGGAGGGCCGGATATCCAGTTGTGTTGCGCTAGCGCTAGATAGCTATTTCATGAAATGCGGCTACTTGTGACATTGAAAACTTATAGTTTTCTCTCTTTCGCAAAAACAAGCAAAGAAAAAGACATGTTTGTCATTGAGGTTAAAGTTAGTTTCTTCAAAACTTTGCCCTTGGTCACGTATTTGTTATTTGGTCAACAGAAGCATTATTGACTTACATTGTACCTGGCTGACAATATACAGCCACTTCAATGCCCCTGCCTGACTAAATCCGTCACCCATTGCCTGGAGACTGTCATGCTGACTTGGATTTATTATTCATTGGAAACGCTCATTGTATTTACCCAGGGTTTTACTGGTAGCAAACCAGGGGGTGGGGGGGGTGGCCGGGGGCATTGAACGTGAAGTCTCACACATAACTTTTATTCGAGAGCAGATACAGTAACTTTGATACAAGATTGCTCTGGTATTTGGCCCAAGAACATAACGCTGGACAAGATAGGCGGATGTGTGGCTATCTGCAAATTAGATATACCGCCGATATTGATGACAAATCGGGACAATTAAGTATACTTAACTACAAAACTCTCCCTGACGTGGGTACACTATTGTTCAAACTTATACAAGTTTAGAAATATTATATGCTACATTTGAGGGTGTCTTATCATAATCTTAACATTTTTCCAAACTTAAAGCCAGTAGAATCCGGTTGGTGGGAGGGTCAGGACCGCACGAAGGTCGTGTGGAGGTTCGGCCGTCCTACAGTTACAGCTGGGGGACGGTTTGTGATGACAGATTCGGTATGGATGACGCCAGGGTTGTCTGCAGGATGCTGGGATATACTAAAGCTTCGGCATATCGTGGCTCAGCGTATTATGGACAAGGTATTGCAGCAGCTGTTATTATATTCATCATATACCAACCAACCTGATATGTTATTGCTATATAAATCTAACCCTTCGGAAGGCAATGCTTTCACTACTTGACAGAATGTTGACCATTATGCAGTGGACTAAGTGTGCTCTATAAATGTGTAAATGTGATCTACGTTGTTGTCACAAATGTCAGATGTGCATTGTCAGTGGGCTATGGCTTACTTTTGTAAGGCAATATTACTTTACCATAAGGTATTTATTGTAAACCCTTCTTATGTCCTTCCAGACTACGGCTTTGTATATAAAACCTTAGTCCCGCATCACAAAACAGGCGAACAAATCAAGAATGTTATCGTCCCTTTGTTTGCACGGTAGGTTCAGGTGACATCTACATGGATGAGCTAAGGTGCAGTGGGACGGAGAGTAGCCTGTTTAGCTGCCCGTACCGAGGATGGGGAGTGAATGACTGTACTCACAGTGAAGACGTCGGCGTCGTCTGTTACCCCTCTACCCTTCTCCCTACCCCTAGACCTGACAATGGTAAGGTCCCATTTGAAACTTTCGTAGAATTCATGTAGAGATTTCGCCATTAAAGCAGTGTTTCACAGTGCCCTCAAAGTCGAGAAAACAACCAGAAATTAACTCAGTTTAAGCAAGGGGGTTAAGTTCAACCTGTAAAAGTAGAAGCATCGGTAGAAGTGGTTTAGAGAATCAGACAATCAATCTTCGGATGCGTTATTTTGCCTCTTTTTATGTAGTTCAACTTTAGTTCTAGTAGAAACCCAATTACTCAAAATATAACAATGAATTGTCATTGCTACCTTATTAGGTTGCCCGTCAGTCCGTATATCTGGGTCGTCTTCGGTCCAGTCTGACCGGATGACAACCTACACAATGACAGGACAGCTTCGCAATGGTCGACCGGTGTACAGATCCTCACGGGGTGACTATCTGTTCTTCTACCAATCGGATGATAGCTGGCACGTTGGTCCCCAGTTGGGGACTGATTATATAGGAATGTACGTGGACGACATCAGCATCAACGCAGAAGATATTTCTGGGACCTGGTATCTTTTCGACGGCACCAATTTTATACCATACATTCCCGTTCGAGTGACTTGCGCCAACGTCAGTAAGTATTACATTTTCCACTAAAATTTCCTAGTCACATATTTAAAGTGTTTATATGGACCTCGTGAGAACTTGTTTCAAAAGAGAAATGTACCAAAATGTGCCTAGTATATGGTTATAGAATTAAAGTTTTGCTTGACTTTTCTTAGCTGTGGTGGAAGACACAGTGTTGTAACTGATTGAAACAGAAGGAAGACTGTAAACAGAGTTCGATACACTGGGCCAATTACATGTATACACACGTGGTTTAACAATATTGTATACCATATTTGAAATCTCAAGATCAAGTTTTTTTTTCCAACAAGATATCAGAGTCCGGTTGGTGGGAGGGTCAGGACCGCAAGAAGGTCGTGTGGTGGTTCGGTTATCCAACAGCTATACCTGGGGGACCGTTTGTGACGACAGATTCGGCATGAATGACGCCGCGGTTGTCTGTAGGATGTTGGGATATTCCGGAGCCTCGGCATATCATGGTTCGGCGTATTATGGACGAGGTATTTTACGACGACCTTTCATTATATTTGTACACCAACCAACCTGAAGTGTTAAAGACATTATTGCGATACCTAACTGTCCCTTCAGAAGTCAATGCTGGCAACGCCAGAATGCTGACCATTGGATTGAATATATGGTTAATAGATGTTACAAATGTCAGACTTGCATTTTTTTAATTGATTCACAATAGGGTACTGTAAGTCCCTACCCGATATTGCCTGCTACTCATAAAGTCTTAGTACTAAGTCGAGTGAGCAAATCAACTTCGTACATTATATCCTTGTCAAGGATATAATGTACGCTTTGTTTTGACTTTTGCACGGTAGGCTCAGGTAGCATCTACATTGATGAGCTAGGGTGCAGTGGGAAGGAGAGTAGCCTGTTTGACTGCCCGTACCGAGGATGGGGAGTGCATAACTGTGATCACGGTGATGACGTCGGTGTCGTCTGTTACTCTTCTGGTGAGGTGAAATTTAAACCTCTGCAATTCTTAAACCTGCAAAACCTTACTGTGCATTGATTCACAAAGCTTTCCAAGTCGAGAAAACAACCAGATTCAAAAATTATTTCACTCCTGGAGAAGTAGAAGCAACGTTAGAAGTTGTTTATATATTGTGTCTCTTTTGTGTAGTTCAATTCAGATGCATTCAAACATCTTATCACGGTGGTCAAATTTGTACCATGTATCACCGATAAATAACATATTGAGACAATAAAGTGCTATATTAGTTAGGTTAATCTGAAGAAATACTCCCTGGTATGGACACAGTGTTGTTCAGTCCAAGATTAAAATTATTTTTTCCAACAAGCCAACAGAACCCGGTTGGTCGGAGGATCTGGACCGCACGAAGGCCGCGTGGAGGTTCGGCTATCCACCGGCTACAACTGGGGGACCGTTTGTGACGACTCATTCGGCATGAACGACGCTGGGGTTGTCTGTAAAATGCTGGGATATACGGGAGCGTCAGCATATCATGGCTCAGCGTATTATGGACGAGGTACTGCCTGGACTATCATTATATCATTATATGTCAAGAAAAGTTATTGCAATACCATCTCCCTTCAGAAAACAATGCTGACACTTATCATTATGACAGTGAACTTAGTGTGTTTAATAGCTGTGTAGTACCACTTTGACCAATGTCACGTCTGCTTTTTAGGGTCCATGCTTTTGTCATATTGTCTTATAAGATACAGTAAAACTATACCTGATAAACCCTTACAGACTAATGCTTTATATATAAAACTTATTAGTAGGGCATAAACGAATGAGCAAATCAAGGATATCATTTACTCACGGTAGGCTCTGGGAACATCTACATGGATGACCTAAGGTGCACAGGGACGGAGACTATCCTGTTTGACTGCCCCTACTCTGGGTGGGGAAATCATAACTGCGATCACGGTGATGACGTCGGCGTCGTCTGTTACTCTTCTTCCGGTGAGGTGGAATTTTAAATCTTTGCTAATCGTAGAATTTTGGCAGAGAACTCGGTATGTAGTGTTCCACAGAAGCACTTTTTTCGGCACTACCGCTAGGCCTGGTAATGGTAAGGTTGAATTTAAACCTATCGTAGAAATCAGGTAGATATTTCGCTATACATGAGTTTCACAAAGCCCTCAAAGTCGAAAAACAACCCGATAAGACACCCGTAGAAGTAGAAGCACCGTTATAACTGTTCTAGAGATTTTTTCCTCTTTTGTACTTCGATTGAGATATTATCTAATAGATAACATAGAAACTAAAATGCTCAGAATAGATGAGAGTCACTTGCTTCGACGTCAACAAGTGTTACACAGAAAAAATTCCTAGTCCCATTTGTGATATTCTGTAACCCATTACTTTAAACTGCGATATTCTGTCACAGTAACGAAACGTGGATTCAATGTCATATCTCGATTTTTATCACATCGTATGTAACTCCTTGCTTTCCTAAGGTGTGACATCAGGGCTCAGTACTGGAGCTATCGTTGGCATCTCTGTCGGGGCCATCTCGGCTGTGGTGTTGATCATAGTCATATCCTGCTGTTGCCGCTGCAAGAAAAGTGCACCTGTAGCGACCACGTCACCCAGCAGTCCGCCTACAGGTACCGCCAACCCCGCCTTCACACCCCCGCCAGCCGGGCCTCCACCGGCGTACTCACCCCCCGTACAGCCACCGCCAGACGGGCTGGTGTTCGTCCGTGTAGTGCGCATCCAGTAACAGCAAAGGACTACAGATAATCAGATGAAGCGGTCAGGGTTATTTTGTTGGCATTAAGCGGCCTTTCGTGCGTTTCTACGTCTGTTTAGTGACAAGGTAGCCAAATACAATCTAACCTATACGTTGTTTAAAGCGATGTTTGTTGAATATCATACGACACCATGTCTTCATATTTACCAACGCCATGTATAACGTTAAAACCTTTGTGTGCTGTATTTCCTAGTTTTGTATTGAAGACTTTTATGCTTATAATTTTGTTGCTTATAATATTTGATTTGATTTATTTGTTTGACTGTATTAAAGCGTGTTTTCGTGTTTTTACTTGAGAAAAGACTCAAAGTTCCACTGCTGTGACCCAAGGTACCCAGTAAACTGTGTTTGATATGTAGTAAACCTAGATAACAAACAACTACTAGAAATACTAATATGCTAACGTAATTTCTTTTATTTGTTTATTATCAGTCAATCGACAATACACAAAGTAGGCTAAACCAACGGTCTCTATGTCTCCTCTCTCCGTTTCCGAAGTTCCGAACATATCTCACCTTCTTCGCTCAGGTAAAACGAACCGTTCAACTACAATAAACCTGCATCTATGTACAGGTAAGGGGTGAAAGGTTACAGGTGAGTGACCTGTAAGTCGGAGTTTGTTGACATTAGTCATGCCTGACAGGAACTGAATACCGGTCCGGTGATCACGCACGCAAGCGGATACCTGGGGCCTTTTGTTATACCTGTCAGTTGCTTAGCCACGCCCTCACTCCGTCTGCAACAGGGAGTAATACTAATAGTCACGGGGCCGTTAGTGGGTACCTTAGTCCATGTTTGGATATTTCTGTCCCTGACCCACAATCTACGAGAAGGCGTTAGTGTTAGAACAAATCAGAGACTCAGTTTGACAGCGAGACAATTATTCTACGGTTGTGGTTGGTATTTTACGGGAGGTATTTGGTGTCCGCGGGCGTTGTTGTAACCAACTGTGAATATTTAGCGGTGCCGGGCGGTACAAGGGACAGGTGAGGCTACACGGACAGGTGACACAGGTGACTTGTTTCTCCTAAGAATACTTCAAGAACACCGTGTGAAGATGTGGCAGACATTGTTTCTTGGATTCGCGATTCTCCTGGATACGGGAGTAAGGTCACAGCCTAGCCCATATACAGGTAAGCTCCGACTTATGTACGTGTGATTGGATCGAAAGGGGGTGCGGTGGGGGAGGGGGGCAAAATGTTGTTTTGATTTATGATTATCTGTTAAGATAGCTTCATAGCTACATTTACGTTCTCTATGTAGCCACTATGTTACACATCTAGCTATATAGGCATACGGTGGAAGTAGAATACGCCGATGTTGATAGTCTTAGTATTTCTTGCTTAGTTGCTTAGTTTTTTTTAACAAACGTTTTTGTATTCTAGGTATATCAGAAACGTTCATTGGATTTAGGTCTACGAATTATCAATTAAACAGAGTGACCATGGCCCCGAAGTTTTATCCTAACCGTACTCAAATGACAAGCAGTTACATCCTGTGTTATTTTCGGTCGTCATTTACAGCGTACCTAACATTACCACCCCATAATGTCAATAGAATTATCGGTACTGCCACTACGTAGTAAGGAACCAAGAACGGGAATGTGGTCAAGTCAGGAGAAAAATGTGCTTAGAACTACATGATTAGGAAAGTTTGACCGTTTGTAGTTAAAATGAGCGTGACAAAACGGACATAACGATGTGAACAGATAAACCATTGTGTAATTTCCCATACACACCGTCCATACACACTGTCCATACACACTGTACATTTGGTTATAACAGTAACAACAATTTTAAAACGTAAATGTGTGGATAAGAGACTATGCTAATATATGGCTTTGGATGTATACATACGTAAGAAAAAGTTTCACCACATGTTGATTTATCTCGTGAACATGATAATTAGTAATGTTGTCTTTGGGTTAGGGATAACAAAATCTACTATTTGATTATTTATCACTTCCATGTAGATGATTTGGTCGCTGTTTGCTGAATAAGTTATCTGGTCTGCAAATAGATAGTATCGTGTCTTCAGATAATGAAAAGTACATCAAAGCATACTTTCAGGATTTATGAACATAGTTCCAGATACAACTCGGTGTGACCTTGGACACATAATGTGCATGCTTTATAATAGAGACGACATATGATGTGTGCAGGCCCACAGGGGTATTGTTTTATACCTCTACCTGTTACTAGTCTAGGCCATTGTCATGTATGAATAATGTTATTATTGCAATATCTATGTCCTGAATTATCTATGTTTCAAACTGAGATTCTCTGCTATTTTGTGGACAGGCAATCCAATGTACTGCTCTTGTTCGACTTCTCTATTTAATACAGAAGTCGACTTCTCCATATAAAAATGGAACCCGGCTCTCTCTTCTCTCGCTGTGTTTCAAGCTTCAATTTTCAGTGTACAAAAGAATTGTCGTGTACCTATTTCAATTGCACACACCCACACACAAGTATGCTCCAATACCATATCATGTACATATACATCTACGTGTACTTATATGTTTATATAATGTACCTATTGCATTTTGTAGGTTATACGGCGGGACCAGCCACACCAACAAGTTACTACTTCACCTGTGACAACCTCCAGCAGATTGAGTTCTCTCTGAGGTGTAACGGGATCACAGATTGTACAGACGGAAGTGACGAGCTCTACTGTACAGGTGATCTTTGGCACTACTTCTTTTCTCATTACAATTTACTACACTGTACAACATGGTAATAAACAATGTACGTGTGTGTGTGTGTGTGTGTGTAAATGTTGATTTGTTCCAACCACACCTTATCATGTTTACCGAAGGAAAACATATTGTTTTTGCTAAGTTTCATCTTCTCCGAACACAAAAGGTCAATGACCTGAACAAAACGGCTGTGACCATAGTAACTAGTGTTGGGTTACAACATGTTGCTATTTAATAGCAGGAGGGATTTAGACTCCTGTCACGATATATATGAATGTGAGAGTGAGAATTACCAGAGCAGACCATATGCAAAGGTAAACATTATGCATTTACTTTTCTAGTACTATCGGATACGTCGACTGTACATCATTATAGCATTAAATATAAAAATCACTTTCAGGCTCCTCTACAATGGTCATCGCCACACCGTCGCCCAGCAGTAGCAGAATCCGTCTGGTCGGAGGTTCCAGTTCAAACGAAGGCCGTGTGGAAGTCCGGCCGGCCGACAGTTCCGTCTGGGGCACCGTCTGTGACGACTATTTCGACTCTATGGATGCAAACGTCATCTGTAGAATGCTGGGCTACCCTGGTTCTCAGACATTCTATATTGATGCCCATTTTGGACAAGGTTAGCTTTGTCTTTCTATATATGTGCTTCAAGTAACCCATCATATTCCAGAATTTCAAAATCGATGTCAAGCCAAGTCAACTTTTTTGTTTTTCTTTTTGGTCAGGTCTTTGCTACATATTACTATTTTCAATACAGGGACAGGACCAATCTACATGGATGATCTAGGTTGTATCGGGGTCGAGACCAGCGTGTTTGACTGCTCTTACCGGGGATGGGGGAGTCATAACTGTGGTCATCACCAAGATGCAAGCGTCGCCTGTCTCACCAGTACCACAATGAGTATGTCAATTATTATTACGTTTTGTCTGATGTTAGTGACCCCATTTGAGGAAAATGCCTTGGCTAAAGAATGCCAAGACATTTTTTTCTTAATTAATTTAACATGATGGTGGGTACAATGCTTAACTGTATATCATAATATTATTAAAACAACAAATCACTTTCAGGCCCCTATACACTGCCGACCATCGCCACACCGTTGCCCAGTAGTAGCAGAATCCGTCTGGTCGGAGGTTCCAGTTCAAACGAAGGCCGTGTGGAAGTCCGGCCGCCCGACAGTTTCGTCTGGGGCACCGTCTGTGACGACCTTTTCGACTCTCTGGATGCAAACGTCATCTGTAGAATGCTGGGCTACCCTGGTTCTCAGACATTTTATACTGATGCCCGTTTTGGACAAGGTTAGCTTTGCCTTTAGCTTTCCATATATGTGCTTCAAGTATCCTATCATATTCCAGAATTTAGAAATCGATATCAAACCAATGTGTTTGTCTGTTTGGTCAGGTCTTGGCTACATATTACTATTTTTAATACAGGGACAGGACCAATCTACCTGGATGATCTAGGTTGTACTGGGGTCGAGACTAGCGTGTTTGACTGCTCGCACCTGGGATGGGGGGATCACAATTGTGGCCATCACGAAGATGCAAGCGTCGTCTGCCTCACCAGTACCATGATGAGTATGTCCATAATGATTACATATTACATGATATAAGTGACCACATTAGAGGACCATGTCTTGGCTAAATGAGGATGAGACAAAAGGATAGACCCAGACTCATTTATAGCTCTGAATACACATTGCACAAAACCTATACTGCATACTAATAGCTATTAACGGCATCTCCACCATTTAAAGCGAATTCACACAAACAGGAGTCATAGTAAGACGCTTTATCATTGCAAAATATTTTTCTCTCATAACGTCTTCCTGTATCAAGAACAATGTTTGAATGTGCTTCGAAAATATTCTCCTTTTCGAAAAAACTGTGATTGACTTTCAGGTTACACAGCAGGCACAATACCAGGTAGCTACTTCACCTGCTACAATGGCTATCAGCAGATTGACTGGTACTTGAGGTGTAACGGCTTCACGGACTGTACTGACGGAAGTGACGAGATGTACTGTACACCAGCAGGCAAGAAAGCAACCATTTTGCAGCAATCAACTTTTGCAAAACACGCGTTCGTCAAGATAATGTACCAAGAAAAGGCAAACATATCGAGCACCGTTACCTTAAAAATTCAGACATTCCACGTCCTTGCATTGTCGGACAGTACATTAGTGCATAGATCTAGCTTTTTCGAGACCATCTCAAGAGAATTTGTCTATCCCAATCTTAATATTTAACGTAGGTCTTTCCTAATTACTTTAACATGATGGTGGGTGCAGGTAATGATTATTTGTATATCATACTATCAGTAAAACAACAAATCACTTCTTCCAGGCTCCTCTATAACGACCATGGCCACACCATTCTCCAGTAGCAGAATCCGTCTGGTCGGAGGTTCCAGTTCAAACGAAGGCCGTGTGGAGGTCCGGCCGGCCGACAGTTTCGCCTGGGGCACCGTCTGTGACGACAGTTTTGGATCCTCTGACGCAAACGTCATCTGTAGAATGCTGGGCTACACGGGATATCATACAGTTTATATTCGTGCCCATTTCGGAGAAGGTTAGATTTGCATTTTCAATAAATGTGTTTTAATTAACCATTTCCACCAAATGTAAGCATTTATTTATTATTAAATAAAAGTCGCCTTTAAGCCAACTTTCATTTGTCAGGTCATTCCTACACATTGCTATTTTCAATACAGGAACAGGACCAATCTACATGGATGACCTAAGTTGTAACGGGTTCGAGACTAGCGTGTTTGACTGTCGGTACAGTGGATGGGGGAATCACAACTGCGGTCACGGCGAGGATGCAGGAGTTGTTTGCCTGACAAGTACCATCATGAGTACGTTCATACGGATTTATATCAATAATCAGGTGTAAGACGATCCGTAATGCAGACAAAATCATTTTACAGCTGGTTATCTATTCATCATATCAACACATTTTAAGCATTTATTGGTGCAGTAGGATTGACACAAAGTGCACACTGCTCACAGATGCACTAGAATTGGATGTCATATGCAGTAAATTTGGAATTTATGTATTGATTTGCCTTGTCCCGAAACGTTTTGGTATGTGATGAGAACAACAGCCGAGAGACCGTAGGCATAATTCGTGCCCTATGTTTGATTTTTCAGGTTATACGACCGCGGCAAGGGGTACCCATTTCAGATGTCTCGATCTTCAGCGAATTGACTTCTCGCTGAGGTGTAACGGGATTGCAGACTGCGCAGACGGAAGCGACGAGATTAACTGCATAGGTAAGGTGATACAGTCCCATTGACAGTGTACGTTCCTAGTCATGTTCATTGGTCATATTGTCACATGAGTAGCTCACAGACGTGATATCACATGGACAAAGAAAAAAGAGAAATATGAGAAGTGATGCACTTTGGTGAAACAGAAATGGTGCATTTTACAGGGCATTCCTGTTAACGAAGTTGCTAGCCTCCAACTTGGAGTACAAGCAACCTATTCCGGCATGATTTTCTTCTAGATGAAATGCATTTGTGACATATGAAACTATTGGTTTGACACACAGACAGCGACAGGAACAGAATTCGGCTCGTTGGAGGCTCTGCTGCAAACGAAGGCCGCCTGGAGGTTCGACAGTCTGACAATGACGACTGGGGAACCGTCTGTGACGACGGGTTTGACACCAATGACGCCACTGTTGCCTGCAGGATGCTGGGCTACAGAACGGCTCTTCGTGTGTACCGGAATGCACACTTTGGCCAAGGTAATCTGATATGTTTCCAATACACTTTATGGTGCATACTTTGGTTAACTTAAAGGAAGGGTGTATTTATATGGAGACAGGTTACCGTTGGTTGTCAAGTTGAAAAATGGGCCTCGTGGGGGTCCCTACGTCACTGCAGTGGAGCTTATGTGTTTGTTATTTTCAGTTTTAATTAGCTCTATGATGAGGCAGTCACAACAACGCGAAGAATGAATGATCAGTGTGTTTGTAATATATTATGAAGACTGAGTGAAGGTCCATGATCTTATATTTTGGGTAGGTTCCGGAAACATTAATCTGGACGACGTTGAATGCACCGGAGGCGAGACGAGTCTGTTTAACTGTCGCCATAGCGGATGGGGAAACCACAATTGTGGCCATGGCGAGGATGTAGGGATCGCCTGTGGTAGGTACTCTGACGAAATACCTTTCCAATGTTTACTGCGCAATATAGGGAGCAAAATGGCCCTGCGAACCGAATTGTTGCACAAAAAAAAATAGCCAGTGTCCTGTTTAAAGTTATGATCCAACACAAAGATGTCCTCTCACCTAGAACTTTCTACCAGTCACTCTGGTCTTCCTCTCTCAGTAGACTGACCCAGTGAGGCTTGTCAGGTGGCTTCTATAAAGTGTGACCTCAACACCTGGTCAGGTAGCCAGTGTTCTGTACTCAGGCGCACGAACACGACCGGCCATGCAGATAATCAAGTTGTGTAAGAAGTTCTGAAATGTTAAAAGCAACGTTTATTATCAATATCGTATTCGAAGAGATATCCATAGTCGAGATAGATATTTTCATTTGCTTATTGGCTTCAGATCCCTCCTGGTCATGTGACAACGGTAATGTGATCCAAACGCCCGAGAATCCGTTTTGCGACGGCGGGTCGAACTGCACAGACAGCAGTGACGAGTCACCGACAAGGTGTCCTTATGGTAAGCAATCATTACTTACTGACTTTCCCTACATTTTGGATTCTGATTTCCCTCAGTGAGAATATTGATGCGTTAGATCTAGTGATATGTTGCTTTATATCATACCTGGGTCCCGGCCCTCCAGTAACACCATGCAAGTATAGAACAATCTACATGTATTTGAATAAAAATTGCTTGACATTCTAATTTTGCCCTAATCATGCTACCACAGAGGAAATGGTCAGTACGTGCGGTACAACGAAGATGCTGTCTCGGGCTGAATCTGGATACATCACCTACAGTATCAGGTCTGGCTACCCCAGATACAGTCGGTGCCTAGTCGTCTTCCAGACGGAACCAGGCCACGTCATCCGTTTAGGTCCTTGGTACCTGGAAGCGATGTCATCACGGTGTTCCGACTCGATCTACGTGTGTGATGGGAACGTTAACTCGTGTGGCCAGGGAAACAGCAACGTGCAGTACTGTAACGGTCTTCAGCTCCAGACCTTCCAGTCCAGCGACAATAGCCTGACAGTCAACCTCGAGGCGGATGCATACAGCAACTCTGAGGAGAATTTCAAGATATTTTATACGATTATACCAGCAGATAATTCAGGTTGGTATAATGACCGTTGTCATTGTGATGATGATAAATATGGAGATAAAAAAACTATAAACTCCCTTTGTACTAATTATAGCAGCAACTCACGTTTGTTATCCCAAATGTTCTTTTTTAGCAACTGGCGTCGACCGAGACAGGATTCGGCTGGTTGCAGGTCCTTATCCGAACGAGGGTCGTGTTGAGGTCCGGCCAGAAGGGTCGTACGACTGGGGGACGGTTTGTGACGACGGGTTTGACCTTCAAGACGCTACGGTTGTCTGTAGGATGCTGGGATACGCAAGTGCCACACAATACCACGATGGGGCGCGTTTCGGCGAAGGTACAATGTCTTCCTGTTGGATATCTATGGCTTGATAACATTTTGTTCTTTCATGTCAACTTAAATGAGAAGAAAGTCCTAACGTTAACGCGGTGTTTAGGTTTTGTTGAAGCCAAATATTTTCTCGTCCCTTTCTGTCTGCAGGTATTTTGTCTTTGTAATGTTCCTACACGGGAAATATATTATAAACTTTCTTTTATAAGGCCGGGTTTTTCTCAGCTCTTATTGTAAAATGCAGCTGTTCCTTATGGATTGCCTATTCAACACCATAACTGTAATATTCGCTGTTGTATTCTATGAAACAGATCAGATACTGGGCTACGTTGTCTTTGTTCGATATCGATTCTGTGTGATAACACTGTTACTCGTACGTCCATGACAGGAGACGGAAACATCTACATGGACGATCTTCGGTGCTCCGGGACAGAGACTAGCCTGTTTGACTGCGCGTACGCCGGATGGGGAATCAACAACTGTGGTCATGGCGAGGACGTTGGTGTAAGCTGTGGTGAGCATCGTGAGCCTAGTAGATACTAATTGCATTTCCAAGTTTCTGATAATATTAACATGTACAGCCTATTTTCCCCATTACCCAGTGTGGACAAAGTTACTCATGATCGGACACCCAGCAATGGGACAGGGACCACAAGTTCAAGACGTGTCTATTATATTGATTGCTGGTGTGACACAACTAACATTTGATTGAGCTACTAGTATGCGAAAGCAAACTTGAGCCTCAATTTGTTGCAATTTACCTGATGCTATTTTCCATCATGTTGAGATCTACTTGATGATATTTTTAACTTGTGACATCAGCTGCCGGATCCATTGGCCCGGACAGCAGTAGAATCCGCCTGAGTGGAGGCGGCAACCAAGGCCGTGTGGAGGTCAGGCCGGCCGACAGTTACGACTGGGGAACGGTCTGCGACGATCAGTTCGACCTCGACGATGGTAACGTCGTGTGTAGAATGCTGGGATATTCCGGGGCGTCAGCGGTGCGCAACTCAGCGTATTTTGGAGAAGGTAGGTAATGAGGTTATACAGATGTCAATGTTGCAACATAAAGTCCCGTTTACATACGCAGAACAGACACTGACACTTCAGGTAGGTAGACAGTGGTTTACTAGTTTGTTAAGATACCCTATAGCCCATTTATATAGGGTTAATCTTCAAGGGCTCGTTCGATAGATCCAACCTGTTTTTGAGTGCTTTTATTACAATCTAAAAGTCCTTTGTCTATATTTCCAGGCACGGGACCTATCTACATGGATGACCTTGAGTGCGATGGGACTGAGACCAGCATATTCCACTGCACGTACAACGGGTGGGGGAACGAGAACTGTGGTCACAGCGAGGATGCAGGGGTTGTGTGTGGTGGGTAATTTGAGCAGGATTCCTGTAAAATAAATACGAAAGAACAGAAAGTACATGGCAGAGACTCGATGATGACTTTGCAAAGGTTTATTGTGATTTTGCTTATTGCTTGATGATTGCCCTATGATAACGCAATGCCCCTATCATACCCATTTCTACTATGCTACATTGATCAGCGCTTTATCCCACCGATGACGCCATCAAAACATGTTTGGGTCGGTAGTGATATATTCTTTTCAAATGGCTTTTCAGTACACAGTGGCGATTGGAGATGTGACGATGGCTCTCTCGTCGAGTATACTGGGTCTCCTTACTGTAACGGCTGGGTAAACTGTGGCGATGAAAGTGACGAGTCACTCACAAGATGCACATTCGGTAAGACGTTTTGAAGTTTTGGTAATACTTTGATTTGCTACTTACTACATACTCCGCATGTATATGAAGCACATGTGTGTGTGCGTGTGTGTGTGTGTGTGTGTGCGTGCGTGCGCGTGTGTGTCTGCGCGCGCGCGCGTGTGTGTGTAGTTTAGGGTCTCCATTAGTGTAAATTTCGCACTATTCTATGGTACATGCAAATGTACTATACTGAACATTTGATGATAGATGATAACATATCAGACACAGAATTGTCTTCATTGTAATCTTTATGCAGAGCAAATGAGAGACTTTTGTGGCCAGACATCGAATCTGCTTTCTGCTGGAACCTCTGGCTATCTCGTCTATGGCTACGACGCGGGCTACCCTGCAGACGCACGGTGCACTGTCCATCTTCGCACGGAGTCCGACTCTGTCCTTCGCATCGGCCCAATGGACCTTACCAGCATGAGTGGCTGCTCAGATAAGATCTACTTCTGTGAGGGCGAACAGTCCTGTGATGACTACAACTACGACAGACAGTTCTGTGGGGGCATACATGACTACTCAACGTTTGTGTCTACTGGTAACGTTTTGACACTGTCGCTCGTGGCGGACGGAAACAATGTCAACGACGAAAACTTCAAGATCTTCTACAAAGTGGAACCAGTACCAGGTGAGAGCTTCTGTAGGAGTTTTTTTTAGCTTGTCTTGGAATGGTCTACTTCACTTTATCTAAGACTTATAAAGATCTATCCTGTTACTACTTGTAGGCGATTATAATGTAGCTGATTATGCTCTGCGTGCCTCAAATACAGGACCCAGTGGAGGCACCATTGCAGGCATAGTTGTAGGCGTCCTCCTGTCGTTGGGAGTTGTTGGCACTGGAATCTACTGTTGCAACAAGAAACGTTCCAGCAACGGACCGCCCCAGACGACATCCCAGAACATCGGCATGCGTCCCACGGGCGTGCAGAACAGCGCCTTTACTCCCGAGCAGCAGCCTGCCTTTAACCCCGAGTTCTCCCCCGCCTACAACCCACAAGGCCTGCCCACCGTTGCCTATCCTCCCAGTTCTGCTGCATACCCCCCTGTATACCCTCCCCCTCCGCCGTACCCTCCTTCTTCGTCTCCACCCTTCTACCCTCCTGCTCCCTCCTCCCCTCCCCCAGACTTTCTTCCTCCTCCAGCTTACGAAGATGCTCTCAACATGGCAAAATCTCCTCCCCCTCCTCCTCCTCCACAACCACTACCACCAGACGCTCCTCCCGAAGGATTAAGTCCCCAGTCTTCTTCAATCTCTTCGTGAACTCATCGTTATCATAGCTTATTATTATATATTGCTGATCTTAGCCAAAAAGAGATAAGATCTAATTAAGATATATAAAGGTGAGGATATTCACATATACCTACTTGTGTGGAAAAACGAATTAAATTGATGTAATCAATTTTATCAACATTTTCCAATAAATTGCTTAGTTAATTGAATAAGCATAATGATAATATCCTTTCAAATATTACCATAAAGCTTTACATGTGGTAGTAGTATACTATAGTTTTGTAATACAATGTCTCATAATTGACGTTAACAAATTTTTAACGTATAGAGATTTATCTCAATGACCATGCACAACAAGTGTGCACGATGTGCTCGTCCGTTGAACATTATATGTAATGACTATAGTGTAATTTCAAGCAAATGTAATATGCTAACTTATTTTATGCATTCTTATATTGTGCTTCGCTAAAACTAGGATGCATTGACATTTCATTCATATGTTGCCATGATGTCGTACATTGTATGTTGTGCATTGCTGGAATGATAATTGTACATATTCGAAATTTAAGCTTGTCAATACCATTCAATGAATATGTATTGTGCTATGTGACGGTCCATGCACATGTGTGTCATGTTACAGAAGACATTTTACTGAAAGTGTACAGAACCTGACATTCAAATAAAACTTATTCTTGTTCAGTAATGGCTAACTGACGCTTCTTCTGTGTGAGAGATGTATACAGTAGCTATAGGGGCCTCTTTGGTAGCTTTGTCGTTACTTACACAATATTCTATGTTACAAAATGTTCATTTTTGATGTTGAAGGATATACTGTATTGTGTTTGAAAGAGGCAAATTGTCTTGGTAAAATATAACTGAATAGTGCACTACGGTCTCCCCTCAAACTGGCATGTAAACAAACGCGTCACGGCCTTGAAGGGGACGATCAGGAATGGCCAGACCCCCGGGCTATAAGCTATGAGGAAGCAAATATCTAAACCATTGTTTGACATTTGGCCAAGTACAGTACTGTGTACAAATCGACGACAGGGCGTGCAGAATTAATATAATTTTGCTCCGTAAAGAAGGCCGGGTCACACCATACAGACACTACCCCGAGACGTCTTCTGCATGTATGATATGTGAGTGAATCTATGTCACGTCGTTACGTCGCTTGGTGTGTCGTTCTGCCTTTGGTCGCGTTACTGCAGTGAAGACAATCACGTCTGTTCCTTGAAGGCAGATTCAAGAAACCGTCAGGAAGAATGTGGCCGAAGATTCTGTTTCTGGTGTTCATCCTTGCAGTCCCAGGAGCATCTGCCACAGGCATGTCATTTTCTTCTCGGTGTTTGGTTAGAATAAGTTCATCAGGCTAACTTTACATGCACATTCATTACGTCCACAATACGGTGGATATCATTTGTTTTACGCTGACGAGACACTACTACTCAGACCGTTTGGTCGGCACACATGCATGTTTTGTTACCAGGGATTTTACCATTACCAAGTACATTCCCCAACACCTAATGGTGTTACGTAGTACTTCAACGTAAAGGTGGAGGGGTACTGAAATGTAAGCTTTCCAGTACAATTAACATGGCTGCCGCTAATTAAATGCGCGGGATAGAGAAGTAGCTCAACCACTTTGTCTATGTAAAGCAAAATGCCAATGACCCCCAAAAGGTTACGGTCCCTTGCGATATCACCATTCAATTTGTACTGTAATTTAAGTCATTTTAGCACCCATGTATTTTTTTCTTATGACAAACGTTTATCTAATGACATTTCCTCTGAGGCCACTTGCCTTTATGCTCTTTATATATCTGTTTATCCAACATGATTATTGTAATAGAGTTGTTTCAAACTTGGCAATTATAACTAATGTCACATGACTCACGAGGTTTCTTTTTTTTCGCAGATCCAATCATAAATACAGCTGCATCTATCGTCTTTGGTTTTCTTCTTATGTTCTTTGTGACCTGTCTTTGCTGCTCTGCTGTGCTGCCACTACCAGTATACCGACTCACATATTCTACTGGACCCGTACCGACTCAAACGACACCCCGGAACATCAGTAGTCTCACAGGAGTGGAGAACGGCGCCTTTATTCCTGACGAGCAGCCCACTTCTAATCCCGAGTCCTCTTCTGCCGAAAACCAACAGGCCCTGCCCGCCGTGGGGCATCCCGAGGCCTCCCCTGCCGAAATTCCTGAGGAGCAGCC